ATAGAGCGCATAAAGCAGGAAAAATAACGCAAAAAGTCAACAATCGGCAAACCAACGCGGCAAATTTCTAAAAGCATGATCCCCCTCTCCCAACGACCAAATACGACCCCCTCCCCGGAGAAGAAGTACGACCCCGGTCACACAGCGATGCTGTATCCTGAGCCTGAAACAGCAAAACTCAGTGATGGTAAAGTTTAACCACGACTCTCCCCCTACCATCTCTCTGTGCATTCGGGTATTCCTTCCTGGGGTACCCTCACGATCATTTCTTGGCTCCAACTGGTCGAGATTTCGTACAAGTAATCATCACAAGACATAAATGAGCTCAGAATTCCTCTGTCGTGATTTACCTGTTTAAGAGCCCTACCGTACTCAGCTTGCACATTACTCTCACCTTCACCGCTCATGTACCTGTGAAAAGGAGCTAACTAGCTCGATACTGAGGAAAAAAGCAAGAGATTCGTCGAAACAGCCCTAAATTAAAGCTCTTCAGTTTTGATTGTCCGAGTACGTGAGAAAAAAAATGGAGAGAAGGTCGGGCAAACGTGTGGTGAGGCATCACAGTAAAGGCAAGTGGCACGATAAATCCCCAAGACGTGTAGGATTGGTCCGCGTAGCAGGACTGAATTCGGCGCCCCTGTGCAGGCGCCTTTTCCAGGAAATGTGCCCCTATTGCATAACATCAAATTGCAACACACCCGACGCCCACAGCGCCCGCCCGCCCACAAATGTCCGTCCGGTGCTGATGCGCGTAGCGCTTCATTTGCGTTTCAGCCGGCGTTGATATTCTCCGCCGCTGCTAGACCACCCTGTTGAGCTCCGCCAAACGCACGTAATCGGAGGGGTTCACGACAATGGTACATTCGGATGTGCCCGGCTTCTTTCAAGCGTTCAACAACCTTTGCCATACAAGTCGGGCGGAGAGCTTTTTCCAACCTCCTCAATTCCCTGTGCGTTGGCTACCCAATCCTTCTACCAAGATACGAGATTCCTAAAAGGGTACAGGCAATGAAATGAAGGCAGGATATTCTCTTCGAGTTGCTCAATGTAACCGCCAGCGCTCAACCTTCAGTCCGGGGTCCACGAAGAAAATATTGGTCTTCCCATTCCAGGTACGTCCGGTCCATACCATCAACCCGCACCTTGCACGACTGCGGGCTGAAGACTATTCCTGGACAGTATCGAGGTTGGTCGGAGCTGCCTCGATGGTGGAGCGTCTACAGATCGAAGAGGTGCTGGTCCCCAAGGTTAGCGTTCCATGAGTGACTCCATCACAAGATTTCACAGCTGTTCGGAGGTGACGTGAATTCCATAGGCCTTCTCCAGTCAGGCTGCATGGAGATAGCTTCATATTTTAGTGTACGTGGAGGTGAGGGAGGAGAGCCTGCTCCTGCTTATCGAGAAACCTGGTATCTATCTTGGGTATCTTCCGCCCTGGTATCTTATCCAAGTCTTCTATATGGGCTGGGTAAACTTTACTGATATGTGACTCGGCAAAAATGTCTTTTTTTATTGCCCCCCCCCCCTGTATGCAGCCGTATCTACCGTAGCCATGATGATGTCAACGGGAAACTCGTCCCAAATTGCTCTGATTCGTGTAGAGCAAAGGCTTTTTCCGCGAGTTTTTGACCGCTTCACTTCTCTTTTTCGCCATTTTCCCACTTTATGCTACCATTTCGGACCGAGTACCAAATCAGTGTGCCTTATGCCTTTAAGGGCTTACCAAAGTGAAGTGGTCCAGGAACCTGGTGCTTTGTAAATGAACGCCATTTCCAAACCATACAATCACGAGGTTTGTCTCCAGGGAAGAATACCCCGCTTCGTTAACGCGTCCATTGTCTCCAAAGCCTTTAGTGAGGGTACAGCATAAGTGTAAGAGGTTTTCTTTCCTTAAAAAGTGAGGAGTACGGCCCTAGGAGAAGAAATAAAGTATTCATAGGTGAACATCTGGCATTTTGCCCTTTTAAACTTCTGTTCTCAATAACATCTAAGCGAAGCAGCACAATGGTGAGTCACGTGCTTAGAAACGCTAGTCGTTCTCCACCATCTGTTCCATAAATCTACTAATATTGCACTTTCATGCTCTCGTTCTTATTATAGCTTTGTTGTTCTTGCAATGGATTTATTGTATTGCTACAATTTCTTTCACCTGATTGCAGGAAGGGGGAGGGTCAAACCCTCAAGTCACCTTCTTGAATTCGTTCCTTCCGTATCGTTCTAGTGGTAATCCACTCTTAGCATTAAAGACAGCCCCCGCGCTCAAGTAGTACATGGTCGTCCTTCCTTGTGCAAGTAGTACAGCCCCCAAGCTAGAGACTATCCCACTCTCGCGACTCCACAGCGAGCGAGGAGCGAGCTACAGCCGCTGAAGTATCCTCATCATCGCGGACCGGTGGGGCGTGTCAGCCAGTATGAGTGTGCACACTGTTGAAGCCGTTCTCAGCCTTTTTGTGAAACAGTATGCGACAAAAAGTGGTAGAAAACGAGTAATACGGAGGATATAATACAGTAATGTCACTTGCCCGCTTCAACAACTGGTGCAGAACGACTTTGGCCCCGCGCCAAACGCAGCCGCACTGAACCGCCCGACAGTACGTAATGATGAGGACTGTACTTCTTACGACCGCCAAAAATTCATATTTATGTTTTTTCAAAATCCTAGCACTTCCCAAGTTTTTCAATGGAATCAGCCTAGGATTCGAAGCTTTCAAGATGTGAACGGTGGCTAGAATACAATCATCAATCTATCAGTAATTGATTCTAGAGTGTATTAGTGAAGTCAGATGTATGGATTTGAGTAGAGGTTAATTGTAAATTGACCGGGCAATCTAACTGGTCCTTGATTGCGTTTCTATCTACTTCTGATATCGAGTGAAGTGAGGTTATCTCAAAGGTACTGAAACAGACGCGGCCTTTCACCTCAAGCAGTTCTTGCAGAACTGGAAGCATGGGGCCACTTTGTGGATGTTAGGTGGGAAAGTGCTCATTGGTAGGGAACAAGAGCCGAAGTACAGCACATTCCTCGCTGATCGTTTGGGCGGGGTCAGTGGAAGATTGCTTCTTTCTTCATTGTTATTCGAGATGGCGTAGAGGAGGGGCTCGGCCCACAGATGCAAAGAACGTGATGGTTTGAGCAACTCCTCCAATACGATGAACGTGAGATTTGCTTCATAATCAAATTCACTTCTCTAATTTCCCCCTTCTGATAACTCCATAGAAGAAGTTGTCTTTTTTCAATTGCCCGTGGAAACGCGATATTCAATTCACTCAATCACGTGGTCGTTTGAAAATGAAATACTTTCTCAGTCATAATTTTTTTAGGCTAGCTACCTTGGATACGCCAACATAATCAGCTCTACAACACCCTCGGAATGCTCTCGTCTCTGCTCAGCTTTGCAGCACTGAGTGAGCTTTTCGATAATTTTTTTTGATTGTTAAAAATACGAATACGACGGCTCATTCGATCAACTACTTATTTTTTTATTTTTTTCTCTGTTTTGCAAACCCACTGTATCTGTAAGCCTTTTACGGCTACTTCAAGCAATGGGTAGAAATAGTTCCTAATGTCAGGACGCCCGAAAAACCCACTTTTTTCAGAGTGTTCAACGCATCGTGCATCCGATTTTAAAAACCCAGGGATTTTTTTGGTTATACAATTGTGCTGTGCACTAAAACTACAGGCATATTGGCTGCGCATGCTGGGGTGTGTCAGGGGCTATGTTTGGCACAGCGCCATACTCAACCCACCTGATACACCCCAGGGTTCGCAGCGAACAAGACTACCTTTTTCGCTGTGTAAAGCACTATTGCCAAATGGCCGTGCCATCAGAGCATACGGGATCAAATACTAGATCGAACAGCGCCTGGCAAATGAAACCTTTCATTCCTCTGAAGCCTATTAGTCAGAAGCCCATAGAGAGATATGAGAAAGAAAAAAGGGAAGTAAGAAAAGTACTTACCAGTAGACATGCGTTAGGCGCACCCACTGCTCCAATTGCATCATCGTTGTGGGATTCTCATCGAGGTAACGTCTGTGACGGACGGCGGGGAGGGGGAGGTTGGGCAGGGGTACCAGTTGGGCGAGGGGGTGAAGTGCAGACCGTACCGAGACCCTCTCTTCAGGAGTCGTACATTGCGCGGATTTTTCCCATCAGACAGGACACGTCCCGCCTTTCGTAGAATTTTTTGCAAAATTACTGCAGCCCCTCTCGATAATTCCTTCTCTCCCTTCTCCATCCCTATCCCACCTATCGAAATTTTCCCACCTTTCTGAATTGCCCTATTTCTTCTATCACTTTCCCGAGGTTATTTCCTGAATTTCTTCCACGTTGCACATAACCTTCACTCTGCGCAACCATAGTCCATATCCGAGGACAATAAGGGGGTCCCAAGTGCGCAGTTGTTGCGAGCGCGGCGGCGGCAGCCTGTGATGATTCGCAGAAGGAAGAGAAGACAGGGGAGCCTTGCATAGTAAGAAATTTGCCCCCGTCCTTGAGCACCTCGCCCTTTTTGCCTTAAGGTAATGCGTACTGTTGCGTCCGCCTTGACTGCTTGGGCCCACGGTTAAGCCGCATTAGCTCGCGCTCAGAACATCTCTCGACTACGACGGTGACCTTCCCTGCATACCAGTCCCGCCTGACGCGCTGTTTGTCGACGAAGAGGGGGCATTTTGCCACTCTAAAAGCACTTGCCCATCCGACAGCTGTTCAGCCTCCTGTCGAGTTGACAGGTTTTACCACTGACGCGCGCTTGGCGCTTACTTCCAGCTTTACAAAGCAGTTACAGCGATTCACCAGAGGTGCAGACTTCGCTAAACCAGAACTAGTGAAGCAGCGAAAAGGCAAAATGCCCCCACGTCGGCAAACTGCGCCGTCCCTTTTCTTCCCGCATATACTCCCTCTTCATCGTCAGTTGACAACGATTCAAGCTCAACGTTTGAGCTCTCGCAAAGAACAACGAGCCACTTTTATTTTGGCGAATAAGCTTCTGCAGGTTCCTTGCTGTGGCCTTCCATAATTCAGTTCGTTGCAGGAACCACAACTGCGCTCATATGCCTTCAGTGCAATGGATGGCAAGGAGACTATCCGCTCCGATCCACTAATCTTAACACCTGTAACAATTTGAACAACCAGTGCCAGGTAAGAGCTACCATTTAGCTCATAATACTATTGCTCATCAAAGCCCAATATTAGAGGTATTCTGTTAAAGAGGACAACAAAAAGGAAATCTACAATAGGTAAACAGTAGTATACAGGGGGGGGGCCAAAAAAAAGTCATTTTGCCTCCATGACTTTCAAGGCGCTATAAGTTACACTTTATTGAAACTTTTATCGGACATTTTTACTACCATATTACAAAGAGCACATTAAATACTATAATGGTACTCCGCCGCAGCCTTCTGGAGGAGCGCCATCGAGAGAATTCGGCCGCGCGAAAGTGAGTGGGTACCGGAGTTGAGCGAGATCGTCGATTTCTCCGCCACCGTAGACCACCCTCTTGAAGTCCGCCCGAGCTAAGTAATTGAGTGGGTTCAGGTCAGGGGACATACTTTAATATTACATCTTCTTCAGGTACGAAACGCCCTTCCATTCGAAGTAGGCGGGAGTTTTTCCAAAACCCTTTGATTCCATGTGGTGGCACCCAAACCTGTAGCAGCACAAGGTCTCCAAGAAGGTACGGGCGACCACATGTAGGGAGGATATTCTTCTCGAGTTACTTGATGTAACCGCCAGCGCTCACCTTCAGTCGGGGTCTACAAAGAAAATATCGGTCTTCCCCTTTCCAGGTACCCCGGTCCATACCATCAACTCGCGCCTCGGCGAATACGGTGAAGATGATGTCCTAGACCGTAGCGACGTTGCCGTAGCTGCTCGATGTGGGAGGTCTTGCAGATCAAGAGTACTGACCTCCAGGTAGCTATCTGTGGATGACTTCATTCAAGAAGTTTCGCAGCTGTTTGGAGGCGACGTGAATTTCCAAAGGTGTTCGGTGTCTCTCCGTCACGCCGCGGACTGGAGATGACTTTCATATTTTGGCGTACATGAAGGCGATCGGCGGCAGCCTGCTCCAGCTTATAAAGGAAGATCTTCGGTATCTTCCACTCTGGTACTCATATCCACTTCCTCTGTCTGGGCTGTCCGAAAAACTTCGGCCTCATATGCGGACTCGGCCGGCAATGCACTTTTTGGCCCTTGTAGTAAGAAAGAGAGATATTCAGAGCCAGAGAAAGGTTTGGAAAACCGTTAATAAATTATTTAAAAATCTTGGCTGCCAGCTTTATAGCTTCACTACTGTACGATTGGAAAACTATTATCGATTGAACGATAGATACTAAAAAAGGTTACTTCTAGAGTACTGCGGCGAATCGATCATGTGGCTAGAGCGTGGCCAAATTCTGTCTGGAGAGAGCGTGTTTGAGCATAGAAGCCTGTTTCTACGCATCACTTTGCTCAAAAGGCCTAGAAACAGCTTCAGGTGCTCAAAGACACTCTTTTCGGATGTGAGTTTGGACACGCCCTTGCCAAAACGCTTTATCAAACCAGTGTCTGATTGAACGTTCCTTTTCAGGGGTACATCTGAATCTTAAAGGCAGCGCATGCATTCATTTGATGTTCCTACGCCCTCCTTAGATATCGTAGCTTTGTCGACAAGGTGGAGGATGTACTAATTTCGCAGCTCAAAAATACGAGAGGATGCGCCCCGCCCACGTGGCTGCCACAACTGCTCTGGCTTAGCTTCAAAGGCTGAGCCGTCTTAATGAGTTGTGGAGCTCATATAATACGTGAGAAAGTAGTGAAGAAAAAAGCAGAAAAAATCATGGAAAATGCCATATAGAACCCTATGCTGGCCAGGTGGGCGGGGCGGCCGACTCTTCACTAGCGAACGGCGCTATCCTCTCGCCTTTTTGAGATGCAAAACTAGTACATACTGCATCCTCATAGGGAGGGCTATGATATCCAGAGAGGGCGCGGAACATCAAATGAACGTGGGCGCTGCCTTTAATTCAGAAGACCTTTTTATATTTGTTATCCTTACAGACCGATTTCTTCTGCGTCAAAATCACGGATCCGATGAGGCCGGGCACCAGCTACTCGACTTATAAAGCAGATTGTTGGTGAGGAGCTCAGGGATAAGCATGGGTTTTTGAGAGAGTTGTGTGGTGTTTCAGGAGTCAAGACACTTTGGCAGTCACGCCGACCAACACGACAGCCGTCAGCAGTGGACAGTGCTACGACTATCGTGACGCCTCCGTTCCACCTAAAAGGTCAGTGAATGGGAAGCAACTTACGTTTTGGAGGATGGGAGGCCTACCTATGAGTACTATACCAAATCTCACGGAAAAAGAAAAAAGTTCAACTTTGCTTAACTCAGATGGGCGGACATCACGAGTCCGCGAAGCCCATCAGAACATCACTTTCTTCCGTTTCGGAGATGGTGGGAGAGAGGGGGGGGGGGGTGGAGGAGGCGGCGGTTCTTATGATAATCAGCCAGTTCACACTTCATTAGACCAGACGCTTTTCTGTTTCAGATACAAGTACTGTTTCTGTAGCAACAACGACTACTGTAACAAAGTCGGTGGTTTGTCCAAATTCGTCGCCATCACAATACCAATACGCTCTTCTGGTGCTGCCTCTTCTGTGAAATCCTGTTGTGGGCGCTATGTGGCCCTGCAGAAGTGGCTAGGTCTGCATTTTGCGTCGCTATATTCGCGTGGCCCGCGGCCATCGGTAACCTTACTATGTTGAACGTGGCAGAAAAGCTTCGGTGGGGTAACTACCTCCTGCTCTCCGATTTTTCACAAATGACGGGTTTCACTTGCCCCTCCTGCTATAAAGCTTGTATAGCGCTGGCCCAGAATTGGCCCTCCTGCGGCACATGGCGCCTCTATTTACACTCTATTGCCTGGAGATGGAGAAGGCGTGGTTGCGTAGTTCATTTGAGCGCGGGGTGGGATGCGTTTCCGTGGGAAATTTCCATTTGAGACAACTGTCATCCTGTCGTGCAGTGGGCAAACGCACGATTATAAGCCTGCAAAAATTGTCGTACTTCATCAGAAGCCCAGGCGCCACCGCCGAATAGAGTACGCGGCCACGCCTACTCCATGCTCGGGATACGGGGTGTTCAATCTTGTTTGTCTAAGTGAATTCCCAAATAGTCTAGAGTAGTATAACGACAAAAGAAATAGAAAATTGATCATTGTCAAAGTTACAGCTGCTTTCAGGAACTACTGTCTCACAAATCTTTTTTACTCACCTGTGATACTGCATATACATATGTATGTTGAGTATGCTTCAATGTAATAAATATTTATACATATAAAATAAAAAAATCGTTACACATGTTCATAAAATATATCGAGTACGTCATCATCTATTTCTCCAAGTAATATTCCTCGCTGTTGTAGTTCTCGAAAAGGCCGAAGAAGACCTGGAAAGAGGTTAATTAAGGCGTAGCTTTTCTAGTTCAATCACTTGTGACCTCGTAAAGGCTGCCAATTCTGGTCATTCGGTAATAGACCGAGGTCTGGGAGGGTAGTAACGCTGACCTGAATATTGGTTAACCACTCAAGTCATTCTTGAAGGTACCTCTCACGTAACACCACTATGCTGAGTGGAGGACGAGTGCGTGGCGCATCCCAAAGTGAGGTTCTAGGCGCCTACCTTCCACTATTTATCG